CCGTCCGTCCGTCCGTCCGTCTGTCACACTTTTCTTCCCTGAACTCCTCCTACATTTTTTACACTAGCTTAATCATCCTTTGGGAGATGGTTGGGGGTGTCATGTAGATGTGCAGTAAGGTTTCGGAATTTTGATTTTGCCCCGGGGGATCAAATGGGGGTCGAAAAATGACGTTTTTTTTTTATACAAAAAGCCCCTTCTTCCCTGAACTCCTTCTACATTTTACTCAGTAGCTTAATCATCCTTTGGGAGATGGTTGGGGGTGTCATGTAGATGTGCAGTAAGGTTTCGGAATTTTGATTTTGCCCCGGGGGATCAAATGGGGGTCGAAAAATGACGTTTTTTATACAAAAAGCCCCTTCTTCCCTGAACTCCTCCTACATTTTTCACAGTAGCTTAATCATCCTTTGGGAGATGGTTTGGGGTGTCATGTAGATGTGCAGTAAGGTTTCGGAATTTCGATTTTGCCCCGGGGGATCAAATGGGGGTCGAAAAATGACGTTTTTTATACAAAAAGCCCCTTCTTCCCTGAACTCCTCCTACATTTTTCACAGTAGCTTAATCATCCTTTGGGAGATGGTTGGGGGTGTCATGTAGATGTGCAGTAAGGTTTCGGAATTTTGATGTTGCCCCGGGGGATCAAATGGGGGTCGAAAAATGACGTTTTTTATACAAAAAGCCCCTTCTTCCTTGAACTCCTTCTACAATTTACTCAGCAGCCTAATCATCTTTTGAGAGATGGCTGGTGGTGTCATGTAGATGTGCAGTAAGGTTTCAGAATTTCGATTTTGCCCCGGGGGTTCAAATGGGGGTCGAAAAATGACGTTTTTTATATAAAAAGCCCCTTCTTCCCTGAACTCCTCCTACATTTTTCACAGTAGCTTAATCATCCTTTGGGAGATGGTTTGGGGTGTCATGTAGATGTGCAGTAAGGTTTCGGAATTTTGATTTTGCCCAGGGGGGTCAAATGGGGGTCGAAAAATGACGTTTTTCATACAAAGAGCCCTGTTTTCCCTGAACTCCTCTTACATTTTACTCAGCAGCTTAATCATCTTTTGGGAGATGGTTGGTGGTGTCAGGTAGATGTGCAGTAAGGTTTCGGAATTTTGATGTTGCCCCGGGGGGTCAAATGGGGGTTGAAAAATAATGTTTTTCAAACAAAGAGCCCTGTTTTCCCTGAACTCCTCTTACATTTTACTCAGCAGCTTAATCATCTTTTGGGAGATGGTTGGTGGGGTCATGTAGATATGCAGTAAGGTTTTGGAATTTAGATTTTGCCCCGGGGGGTCAAATGTGGGTCGGAAAATGATGCTTTTTGTGCAAAAAGCCCTGTCTTACTTGAAGTCTTCCTTAATGTTACTCAGAAGCCTAATAATCTTTTAGGAGGGTTAAATATTTTGAAAATTATGTAAAACATCAACGTCAAGGGGTAACAAGATGTGTTTGTGAAATACTATGCGCCCGGCATCAACAAAGTACAAAAAGCTATATTTTTTGCATATAGGTCACAGTCAAGGTCGTTGACCTTGGTGTTGTTTGTAAGAACTTAATTAGTGGGGTATGCATACTAAATATGAAGTTGTTATCTCCTATGGTTCAAAAGTTATGGCAAAAAGTAGAAAAAGCTATTTTTAGCATATAGGTCACCGTTAAGGTCACAAGGTCATTGACCTTCATGTCATTTGAAGGAACTTTATCAGTGCAGTATTCGAACCAAATATGAAGTCTCTATCTCCTATGGTTCAAAGGTTATGGCAAAAAGTGGAAAAAGCTATTTTTAGTATAAAGGTCACAGTCAAGGTCACATGATCATTGACCTTGGTGTTGTTTGAAAGAACCTATTTAGTGAAGTATGCATACCAAATATGAAGTCCCTATCTCCTATGGTTCAAAAGTTATGACCAACACTTGAAAAACCTATTTTTAGCATATAAGTCGCAGTCAAGGTCACAAGGTCATTGACCTTGATGTCATTTGAAAGAACTTTGTTAGAGGAGTATGCATACTAAATATGAAGTCTCTATCTCTTACGGTTCAAAAGTATTGGCCAAGGTTAAACTTGACAACAGACAAACAGACAAACAGATAAACAGACAAACACACAGGACAAAAACAATATGCGCCCCTAAAAAATTGGGGCGCATAAAAAAAACATTGCATGCTGGGAAACACCTTGAATTCTTATGAGTAATTTATGTACATGTCAAATGTGAGAGTCATATCTCATCTCAATCAAAAGTTATAAGCAAATGCAACATTTTTGAAAAGTAGGTTAGGCTTGATCGCTTCAAGGTCAAGGTCACAGTGTAAAAATATTTGGAAAGGTCTTTATCACAGGTAATAATAAACATGCATTATGATATGAATGCCCTAACTTTTCTCTTTCAAAATGATGAATTTATAACAACTTAATTTTTTTGCAAGTTGGTCAAACTTCTAGGTCACATGTAAAAAAAAAACATGCCATTCTCACAGGTAAATATACTAATAATAATTTTAATATGAATGTCTCTTCTCATTCTGTAGATATGACCGTGATAACCAAGATTAAATTTTTTGAGACAGATGGACTGAGTCTGACATACAAATGTACATATTTCTATATGAATTGGGTAAAATTCGCCCAGTGGTTCTAGAGAAGTTAAAAATGTAAAAAGTTTTCAGACAAACAGATGGACAACACGTCACGACAGACATTATATGCGAAGGAAACAAAAAAAGCTCAAATGAGTGTTTTGAAAGGGTTACAATATGGTTGGAGTATTTGAAAAGCTGTTTTTTTTCCTGCAGAGATATGCATGACCAACATATTTATGTTTTATATTTTCTTTAGTAATTTGTTTGTTTGTTGTGAATACATCTTCCCTCATATGGAGACACCACCAAATAATAATGTAGATAAGATGTGTTTGTGAAACACTGATGTCCCAGTATGGAAGCCTATGGCGAAGGTTGAAGTTTCTCAAATATATGTCAAACTCAAAGGTCAAGGGTTCAAATTGTTAGTGTCAGAAGAAAGTCTATGTTAAATAAAGAAATCTCTAGTAATTCCTTTTCAAAAGTTAATTGCCAAGGTTAATTTTTTTTTTAAGTGGTTCAAACTCAAGGGTCAAGGTCAAACATATTTCCTGTTGACAGTTCAAAATGAATACAATATGTCATGATAAGTATGAAAGCCCTAGCACCTACTGATCAAAAATTAGGCAGAGTTTAAAGTTTGGTATTTTTCTTGTAAAAATGTGTATCCCATGTCAAGCGATCAGAGGTAAAAATTAATGGTACCCAAATAAAAGGTCTTTTTAAATTGTCACAAGAAATAAACCTATAAAATGTGGAAGCTATATGTATAGCCCATCCCACTTAAAACTTATGGGCAAGCTAGCTAGGATTTAATTTTTGCAGACTTATAGACAGACATACTATAAACACAAGAAACAAAATATGTACATGTATAATAATTAGTCAAATGGAAAAAAAATATACTATTAAACTGGAATCACAAAATAGATTGTTATTTCAGGGACAGGAAGTGGGTAGGAAGATTGGAATCCCCCCCCCCTCCCTCCCCCCCCCCCCCCCCCCCCATCTTGCATTTGCTTTGTTATTTAAACAAGACTATATACTGTAGCAAGTAAAAAATGACTCTTTACATCCTCTCCCTATAAACTTAGAAAACATTGACCTCACTATCATTGTTTTTTTATTTGTTTATTTGTTTTCATTTTTTTTCTCCTGCTTGTCACGAAATTCTGGGCTGGAATTTTTTGACTTAGATGTGAACCCCCCTCCCTACTCCCTAAAAAAATTCTGGATCCGCACCAGTATTGGCAGTAACTGAATGTCACATCGACAATGGGAGATAACTTCACAATATGAAATTCGTCTAGTGTGGCATGGGATGATCTTTGACCCTTTTTAAACTTTAACCTAATCATTGACTTCTTCTTACCGACTCCCTGTGTCTCGTAAACTTCATGAAATATAAATCCAATTATAACACAAAATGAATTAATCCAATGCACACCAGACTGCAACCATGTGCCATTTTGGCGAACTTTCGTCGATTCCGTCACCTTATCAGATGAAGTGGGAATCGGCCGAGGTGTGCCAAATGGTGTTTAATTTATAAATATCATAATGGGTGACGCAACGTGATGTAATGTAGAAATTTACATGTTCACATGTATAGTACAAGAACAAATTTTAAATTAATTCATTACAAACGATATTAAATTTTAACAAACCTTTTCCATCTAGCCTATTCCAAAAAGTATGTGCTGTGTGATTGTGGCGTCGAGGGGGGGGGGGGGGGGGGGGGTAGTAAATTTAAAAAGGTCCTATTATGAGCAAAACATATATAATTTCAGACGCGGATCCAGAATTTTTTTCCGGTGGGGGGGGGGGGGGGGGGGGGGAGGTCCAACTCAGTCAAAAAAAATCCTATCCCAGAAATTGACAATCAAAAAAAAACCTAAAGTAAATCTCACCCAAACGTCAAAAACCTATATCGTGGAGGTGGGTAAGGGGTAGTGGTGACTTCTATTGCCGCAAATGTTTAACTTTTCATACCTATTTTACACATATTCGTGTTTACCAGGGGGGGGGGATCTGCATTTTCAAAGGGGGGTCCATTGTAACTTTTTCCTTGTTTTAGTGTATACATTTTTTAACCTTGTAAATTCCAAGGGGGGGGGGGGGGCTGACCCCCCTCCCCCCCCCCTGACAGATCCGTGCATGAATTTACATCATTAATAAAATTCAGACTTGTATATAATGAATTAAGCATGTATAAAATAAATATAAGAGGTTCTGAGTTATAGGTCACAGGGTCTGAGAATTTCATAATCAATTTGATTAATACATGTAAATTATAGAATTATTTTGACTATTTCCTTTGAAAGCCGCCCAATATGTAGGAGCGTGTATTTAGAGGCAAACACCTTAGTGCGGGTATTACTGTCTCATGACAGCATCTAGTTTTTAAAGAGTTCATGCTATCAGAAAGTCATTTTTCAATACAATTGTACTTGATTTGACTAGATCTCAGTTTAATAAATGGGTACATCTTATCCATAGTCAGTGTCTGACAGTAAAATGATACAATCCTGTTACTTTGTCATCCTGTAAACCACAGTCTATGATAATACTGGTTAAATTCGTAGGAAATCATATTTATCTATGTGCTTCTTAAATCCTCCATCCATCTCCTGTTTGATTTTCTTGTTTCAGTGTTCCAAGAGAGGATATTCTGTTAGTCTTTGCATAATCTGATAGTCTTTCACCATTCTGAGAGTAGACATAGATCATTTCCATAAGCCCTCACTAGAGAATCCTGAAAAAAGAAAAAAAAAGAGTCTTAGTTGAAAAAAATTGTTATATAATATAAGCTTGATGGAATTCTAAATATAGACAAAAAGGGTATAAATACAAGTTGTAACAAAAGATTTTGACTTTTTCATATTAACCATGGGTAACACCTCCAGTAAAGAAAAGAGTAAAGGAATGAGTAAAATTCAGTTTGGAAAGAGAGTTCTTTCAGAGAAAGATATAGACAGAGGTATACCAGTTAAAATAAAAAAAGATGGCACTATTGAGATCATTTCTCAACAAGAATATAATCAATTAAGTCCAGAGAAGGGTGATCCTAATGTTGTCAGAGATTACATAGAAAGACCCTTGATTGCAGAAGAAGCCAATGAGGAATATAACCATTTATTACCAAAAGAGGGTAAGAATTACTTGGATTACCCTGAAAGACCTTTGACTAGACAAGAAGTCAAGTTTATAGATAATAAGAGAAAACAGTTGTCAGAAAAAAATGTTGTTAAAGACACATGAATTTTAGCCCACAAAACCATTGGAGAAGATACAAGGATTAATGGAGGAAGTCCAAACTGAATTCTTGGAGGACATTAAGGCTTATTATGAGAGTAACTTTTCCAGTATTTGTTTATTACAAAATTATGTATTCTAATAAAAAAAAAAAAAAGTTTTCACTTTCATTTGTTGTGTCTTAGACCATTTAAATTGACCTTATGGTTAAGATTGTGATACACACTCTGATAATCATCTATGATGTCTCTATCATGTTTACCTCAAAAGATTGAATCAGGGTATTTGTGTTCAAAGAGCTGAAAAAACTATACAGACAGATCTAAGATTTTGGAAGCATACATATTAATGGGTTTAAATGAGATATAACACTAGATTATTAAAAAGAAAGAACAAAAACTCATAGAAATGATATTGAAAGTACCTTTTATGAATAAAGTGTCATGCTCCAAGGTATATTTTTTATAAACAGGAGAAGGTTTACAACAGTCCCATGCACTCATAAGAAGATCTTGGGTAGTAGAAACACCAGGGAATTTTAATTCCACACAATCAGATTATCTTACATCAGTTATAAGGTTACAGTCTTTGTACATAGTTAAGAGGGTCATTAAGATTTCTTTTCTGGTCATCCTGATGTGCTACATTATAGTATTCTTTCCCTGTGATATTATGTTAATATTAAATGGGAAATTCAGAATTCATCAGCAATTGGAGTCAAAACTTGCTATCTTTACCAACTATGATATTAAGGAAGCTGGGGGGGGGGGTTGCAAATTAGCCATATTTAACTTATTCTTTAGATATGCTATCTTCAGCTGTTAACTATCATTTGGCAAAGAAAACTTTCATACATTTTAGTTTCAAAATTTGATCATGCATTTTTGTATATATATTGAAATGGAGCTCTTCTTCTTCTTCTAAAGGAGATCAATATAGTTTAAACATGACCATGACCACCAAGCCCTTTTTATTTAAATATACATTCATTTACATATCAATTCAATATTATAAACATGCATATGTAAAAAAAAAAAATAATAAAATAATAAATAAATATATATTACAATTGTATCTCATTGAAACTTTACCTTCAAGTTTTGTGTGTTTCTTTGTTGGTTGACTAACTGTGTATTTCCAAAGGAAGAGCAGACAGTCTGAACTTCATAGAGAATTAATCATAGATGGTTAGGAACAAAACATGGCTTCCAGGTTGAGGACTGTAGAAATAAAACCATTTTTGTTAATATGATGGAGTACTGTGTGAAACAATGCATGTTTAAAAATTGAACAAACATGTACAATGCCAAAAAAGTTCATGAAAATATTTGTTTTTAATCTCAAAAATTGTTTTTAACATTAACTCCAGATGAGAAAAGTTCATCATGTTATCTTTAGATAATAAAAAAAAAAGCACAATTACTGTATTGATATCACAAATAAAATGATTATCAAATTAATTATTTAGACACTAAAAGATTTTTTTATTAACAACAGATTCAATTTTGTTTAATATCTGTCAGTACTGCATACAGAAAAATACATCTTTTTTAGCATCATCAAAGTACAACATGTAGTCCTTTATTTTTTGAAAAGCTCATTACTAAGAAACAAAAGTGAAAATGAAAATATATGTATGCCATATATCCCACATATTTAGAATCAAAACAAAAAGTAAATAACTATTGTGATTAATCTTTTGTAAATTCTTCCTTTTCTCTTATTAGATTCCTAATTAATATCTCTTTGATCACCATTTAGTAAGTCTGAATTCCATGGTCATGGGTAACATACATAATGAATTATGAAATTAAATCATATAATTTATACAAAAGGACTTATTAATATTCTGAAGATCCCTTAATCATGTGTTAATATATTTTAGGTTAAATAAGGGTGTGCTTATATGAATGTAAGTTAGAGATATCAGATCACATAAGTATTATACAGTAATAAAATTAACCATATAATCATGCTTAAATGCAAAGATGACCATCATAGGAAAATGTAAAAAAAAAAACAAGACAAACTTACCAGAGATTTTCAACTATATGCCCAATTAGCCTATGCATTAAATAATCCTGTGATCGATTACATCTCAGCTGATCCTGAAAAAAAAATCATACAATTCAGTGATACACATTTAACCTCATTTTACAATGTAAGTAAAGCAATAATTTACAGATAAAAGGGACAGAAATGTAAAAGATACCATGTATTTTACCAAAATTTAGAGAACATGATTGAAATTCAATATCATGGAATGACCCATCATAGAAATATTAAATGCACTCTGAGTTACATGCAGGTTATACAAGTGTAAATCACATGAAATGAGGATAAATACAGTACATTTACATTCAAAACAGAACTTTACATAATTATGATTAAATGCAAAGATGACCTTCATAAATGTAAACAAAACAAAGACAAACTTACCAGAGATATCCAATTATATGCCCAATTAAATAATCCAGTGAAACAACATCTTAGCTGATCCTGAAAAAAAAAAAGCATACAATATTCAGTGATACTCAATATATTTAACCTAAATTTTACAAAGGAAGTAAAGCAACAATTGACAGATAAACAGGACAGAAAAACATGTTTAAATGTAATGCAAAATAATATCTCTTATATATGGATACCTATACTCTAATCATATTAAATGTCATTGGTAAAATGTATTTTTTAAGACAGATTTATTTACTATAGACTTTAAATGATAACATAAATAGCACGCCATACTTTAACCACATGGCAAAAACATTCTCTCAAATTACACAGAAATGGGTTATTTAGCATAGCTGACATTAAACATATAGGTGAGCGATAACATAATCACAATCATAAACAATGTGAAACAACTTTAAAAGACCTACACTGTGGATTACAAGCCTTTTTCACTGGGGTAAAATCTTGCCGAAATTCGCCATGGCTGCCCGAAACCCCGAACCCGACTGTATAAAAGATGAAGTCATACAATAACATAACACTGATGTAGTATTACATGATTTTTTAAATTTTATTTCTTAAAAACTATAAGGTGAGTTTACCCAAAAAAAAAAATAATAATAAAAAAAAATTTAAAGTTATTTTAAAAAAGTTTAAAGTTAAAAAATTTATAAGTTAATTTTAAAAAAAAAGTTTAAAAAATTTAAAAAGAAATTCTAAGTTTTTTAAAAAAGTGACCTGGTGTTATAACTTGAGAGAAACACAATGTTTCTTGTATTGTGTGTTATTTGTTATTGTCTTTCAGTAAAAAATTCAGTTCAAACTGATTAGGCTGGCTAGACTATAGGCTGTCTAGACTGTAAATGAAAAAGTGTGACGTCATAATCACATTGTACTTATACAGTGAATAACGTCACAATGCATAGGTAAGCATATTTTTTTTTTGCACACGGCCCTAAACAAACTTGGCTCGCTGCCAAGTATTTACCTGTGTAGTCAGCATATTTTTTTTTGCACACGGTCCCCTGACTTGAATCGCTGCCAAGTATTTACCTGTGTAGTCAGCATATTTTTTGCACACGGCTCTAAACAAACTTGGCTCGCTGCCTAGTATTTACCTGTGTAGTCAGCATATTTTTTTTTTGCACACGGTCCCCTGACTTGAATCACTGCCAAGTATTTTACCTGTGTCCATAAACAAAAAACGTAGTACCTACGTACCAATGTAAACACTGTGTAAACAACTCCAGTATTTAAGGGGAATAGGTTAGGGTTAGTTAGGGGGGGGGGTTAGGGTTAGTTAGGGTTAGGGTTAGTTAGGGTTAGTTAGGGTTAGGGTTAGTTAGGGTTAGTTAGGGCTAAGGGGATAGGGTTAGTTAGGGTTAGGGTTAGGGTTAGGGGTAGGGGGTTAGGGTTAGGGTTAGGGTTAGGGTTAGTTAGGGTTAGGGGGTTAGGGTTAGGGTTAGTTAGGGCTAAGGGGATAGGGTTAGTTAGGGTTAGGGTTAGGGTTAGGGGCTAGGGGGTTAGGGTTAGTTAGGGCTAGTTAGGGGGTTAGGGTTAGAACTGCACTCAGTTGACCCATTTATCCCCTCCACCAATCAAATCTGATCACGTGATTTCTCTCAGCCAATCAGAATGCGGGGCTATCTAGACCGTTTATACTACTCTTTATTAATTAGAGTCTCCACTGTCAAATATATCAAAATAATCAATACAGATTGTAAATATGTATTATGGTTCAAATGTAATAGATCGCTATTTCATCTCGAGGATGAAATTTATTTTGGTATTGTATATATCCCTCCAGAAAATAGCAAGTATTCATCCCCAGATTGTTTTACTGAAATAGAACAAAAGCTCATGTCTATATCCAAAGATGTTTGCTGGGGGATTTTAATTCTAGAGTGGGCAAATTGAATGACTTTATTATTACAGATGAGTTTTTGACAAATGTTAAACAATGTAATTCTGGTGTTGAATATAACGATATTGAAACGTGTTTTGATAATGTAAACATTCCTCTTGACAGGACTGTAAAAGATTTTTCAAATAATAACTTCGGTTATAAGATGATAGATTTTTGTATAAATAATAATGTGTATATTGTCAATGGTCGTGTAGGTAGCGATAGAGATGTAGGCGCACTCACTTGTAAAAATTCAAGTACAGATAACCGCTACAGTCAAACAAAGATTAAAAGATCAATATATTCAAAAGTGGAATAGTGAAGTTCAAGAATCATCAAAAAGTTTAAATTATAGAATTTTTAAAACCAATTTTGAGTGCGAAAAATATTTAACACTGTTATCATTTAAATTTAGAAAAACTTTTGTTAAGTTTAGAACCACAAATCACCACCTCCCAATTGAAACAGGTAGATGGAATGGTACTCAAAGAAATGAAAGAGTTTGTAGCTTATGCAGTAGTAACCAGATAGGAGATGAGTATCATTATATTTTAGAATGTAGTGCTTTAAACCAATTAACGAAAGTTTATTTGAACCAAAAATTTTGCTCTAATCCAAATATCATCAAGTTTTGTGAAATCATGTGCCAAAATGATGTTGATTCTTTGAAACAATTATGTATATTTATTTCTAAAATTAATAGTATTGTCTGTTCTCCTTAATTATCACCTTCTGCTAGACCCACTGTATTACATGTATATATGTTTTACATGTTTTTGTACCTCATGTACCATTTACATGGTTTTGAGTGAATAAATTGAATTGAATTGAGGGACTTTTATGTTTCACGTGTGTTTTCTTATGACAAGGTCTTCTCCAGCCGGCTAATATCAAATGTAATCTTTACCCTTTGACATTTACCTTGAAGTTTGAACATCTTTTATAAAAAACTTTAACCTTAGCCAGAACTTTTGAAGGGTTATTATAGTGCTTGGAATTTCATAATTCAAATACATTCACCGAGACTATAGTCCTTAAGTTCTGTTGGTTTTCAACATTTTTGATCTCTTGGACCTGGTATTGGAGTTTGACTTGAATTTGTGAAACTTTCACCTTCCCTATCAGCTGTCATGCATTTGGATGCTTCAGTGTTTTACAAACAAATCTTTTATTTTTAAAGAAATCACGTTCTGTTGTTGTTTTTCTTTAAAATAGAAGAATATCAATATTTTGACATTGTTTCCAACAATGGTGTAGAAGAAATTATAACATTTTTCGTTTTTACCATATTTTATTTAATGAATATACTTTTATAAACATCTAAAATTTATAGCATTTTAGAAATCAAAGCATGTTGGAATTTCCTTGTGACATTGGATCAATAAACGTATACATGGTGGACCCAGAACAAGATTGCGCGCGCTTCCGTTTCCCTGGTAACGACACTCTGTGTTGATACCATCTCCTCTGTAATAGCGTCAAAACCTGTAAGAAAAATGCCCTTTATATAACGGTTCACAAAGCAGAATTTTTGAGATGATGAAACTTCATTAATGCAACCTTTTCTTTCATCATGCTTAAAAACCGAGGTCCCGTGTCAGCGGCAGGCGTTGGCACGTTAAAGATCCCTCACTGCTCAATGGCCCTGAGTGCCGAGTAAAGGTCAAAATTTGAAGCCCTTCACCGGCATACGGTGACGTCTCCATATGAGTGAAAAATTCTCGAGAGGGACGTTAAACAATATACAACCAATCAATCAATCTTTCATCATGAATTTTTTGATAAATTAAAAAAATGTCTATTTATATTTAATTCAGTATGTATTCAAATCAATTTCTATTAAGTTTTTTCATTCTTATTTTGACTTTTAAAATTTTGTTTAAATTTACTACATGTATATTTTAAATGGTAATGTTAGAATTTTTTTCTTACCTCGCCATTGCAGAAACAATAGAGAATGGAAACAAAAGCTCCCTGCAAGATAAAAAGCAATGAAAAAATATTAGGCTTTCCAGAGGTGTATTATTCACTTAAATTTATTTATGTTAAGTAACGAACATCAAGATTATATTGAGGAATAATACTGAATGCATGTATATCTAGTCATAATTACTGTGAAAATCTAAAGTTAGATTTAGAATTCCTGAAATGTTAATTATCGGTATGTATCTTATATTACAACGTAATATGTGATAATTACCTGTAATGAAACAACCACCGATACTGCGTAAGTGTATATGTCATACAATGTGGATTCTTTATCATTTGGACGCTTTATGAAAAGTAGAAATTGCAGACCAAGCAATGGAATTAAAATCCCCGTTGCTCTTACTGCTTTCCTGAACAAAAAAGAAAGTGATTTAAAAGAAAAGTAATGATATATGGAGATCAATGAAACAATATTAATTGTTAGCAAAGCAAACAAATTTGACACCCTAAAAAGAGATTGGATCATATGCTAGGAAGGAATTTGTTAAACCTTTAAAAATTTGTTTCTATTCAAATCTATACGTAAAAACTTCTAACATTTCTAATGTTTTGCTGAGCGGGCATAAAAAAATCGATGTTTGACCGCTCGGTGAGATGTTGGACCGCTTAAGTCACAGAATGGACGGAGCTTAATCTCATTTTCATTCGTTGGTGTTTAAAAGTGACGGACCTGAGGTTACATCACGGGAAACAGTACAAAATACATGAATGTCAAAGAAATAAAATAAAATGAAAGGTATAACAAAACATTTATTGACTGAGTTCTCGGGCAAAATGCGTTTTGTCGACCCTTGAACCAAACTGTCTGCCTTCGGCCTAACGGCCTCAGGCAGACATGCAGTTTGGTTCTTGGGTCTGACAAAACGCATGTTGCCCTCTTACCCAGTCAATAAATGTATAATGTATCACTATTCGACCGGTGAGACTAACCGTGTGCTCATTGTCTTGATCGGACAGAGGGGAAAAAAATCCGTTGAAATTATGGCATTACAAACTACTAGTAAACCAAGTATACTGAGAGATCCTTTCTGACCGGAGATGGACGTTCTTTCAATATAATAATTTCCTACCCTTATATCCGAAGAAATATGCAGGATTTATTGTGTATATTGTGATCTCTCTGTCAGAGAGACAGCTGTAGGTTGATTAATATGGTTACACGTAAGAGGCTTTTAAGAACCTTATGTCATATAGGCCTATTACGTCTAAAGATGGATAGCTCTACATCATATCTAATTCCTGACACAGGACCGAAGAAAATGTTAAAGGATATAGTTAACATCAAGATTAAAAGCGTTTATTCTATAAACTCTTGACGTATTTAGCTATATATCATGATGGATCTTTGAGCTCTAGCTATACAGAGACATCAAACCGTCTCAAGATCACTTAGGGATGTGATTTAACACCTAATCTGACGTCACTGGACAAGACGTCCTGAGCGATAGAGGACGATGATAGGAACATCATTTATTTAACCTGATAAACAACCATTCAGTGAAATATGTTCATACATGTACTTAAGTACCAGTCCACATAAAAATTAGACAAAGGGTGATATATGAGGGTTCTCAGAATTTGATGATTTTTCACTCATAGATTTATTTTGAAGTATGAACAATGTATGTAAAATGAAAAATGTTTTGAGTCATGGTAACCATGGAAACCCGGCCAAAGAAATTTCCTTAGCAACCGGGGGATTTTTCAGTGTTGAAGGACAAAAAATCACCTATCTTTGAAGCTTAAAATAACATGTAAATACCATGAGAATTATTCTTACTTATGGGTGTAAAAAAAGATACACATTTATCTTGTTCTAATAATGTAATAAAAAATATTTAGGTCTTAAGTCAGTTCTGTGGTAGACATTGGAAAGTACACATGTTTTACAAGTTTTGCTGATTCAGCATTTTTCGTGATTTTGGCAATATTCAAGGCCAAATTTTAAAAATGGCCAGATTAATACGGTTGTTGCATGTATCTCACATAAAAGCAGAGGTATTTCTCTTTTAGAATTTGAAGTCAAATCCATGGGCTCTTTTTAAAATCGAACCTGTTGCCTAGCAACAAAAATGGGCTTTTTGATGCATAAAATGAGAAACAATGTAAAAAGTTTACGGAAAAATCAAATGAACAGTTATTTATGATAAACGAGATACAAATTTTAAAATAGTAAAAATTAAATTCGGTCTCCCTAGCACATTATTGAATATTGCATAATTCTTAATCTCCATAGCAACGACAGGTTCTGCATAGCAACAAGGCAAAGAAACGTAATTTTGGCGTGTATTCGTGTAATTTTATTAAGACTTATTCAAAATAAGTCAGAAAAATCCGGTTGAGCAAAATTGACAATGAAATGTTGGTTTTATTATTGTTATTTATTTTTGGTACTTAATCAACCCATATAACAAGGATTTCGTGTACATGACAACCAAAGTTCCTATGTCTCCCGTAAAACAGATTTGACTTTGGGATTGTATTGTTTGTCATGGAATTGGATATTCAAGTAATATGCTGATAATTGCATGGTGATAGTTCGGAAAGACTTTAAAATGTATCAAGTTATTGGATATTGTTCAATGACTTATTTCCATAGCAACAACACCACTCCCCTAGCAACAACACAAAGAAAGTATGACGCATACAAATGTATACATGTTACCTGTAATCTTTATCTAAATCACGTCATAAAGAAAAAAAATGATGTTGAAATGTTTGTTTTTTCAAAAGTATTTTTAAATTCATTTAATCCATAACAACTATTTCTAGCACATAGCAAACAATGTTACATTTTCAGTATAGGATACTCTGTTCGTTATTCATAATATTGAAAGATTAGGCACTTATCACAGATTTCTCAAAAGTATTACAATGTATGAATTAATTCCTCATGAAAATTAATAGATAAATAAAATGAATAACGTCACTATGGAAACATTTCCAATGAAATTTCCAAATGAATAGGAAGATCAGGTTTAAATTATTCTATTGATACTTGTCATAGATTGGAGAGTTTTTTTTTCCAAACGAAAAGAATAGTTCGCGGTAGCTCAAAGGTAGCACCTACTGCGTCCCACAGTGGGATTCGAACCCGCGACGTAAGGACCAGCTCCTTACTTCCTGACTCTAGAGAAGACGCTCTAACCACTGCTCCATGAGGGCGACGCGGCACATTAAAATAAATCAAAATAAGAAAAGTCGCATCGCAGTCAGTTACGGTTATTTACGTAAAATTGAAGTTTACACCATTTGAAAGAAATATTGCAAGATATTGCAAAGCTAAATCAAATACAAATGAATCTAAAACATGGCTAGTCACACAAGTAGAAACTTTATTTTTGTATGTTGTTTGGTGAGATTTGCATTAATGTAGTGCAAACATATTTCAAAAATTATGCAAACGATGGTCAGAGGGTCATCTTCATGTATCCGTTTAGTTCATATCTTAAAATGGAAATATTATGCAACAAAAACAAAACAATTGACATCGAACTCATTCATGTAACACGGGGCCCATGGGCCACATCGCTCACCTGAGCACTATGGCTAGGAAAAATCAATTCAGTAAATGCCTAAGTGGTCCTGATCCTAAAACGGGGGGGGGGGGGTGATTTGAACAAACTTGAATCTATGCATACTTGAACCTGCACTAACTAAGGGTGGTTACATATTTTTTTACTAACTGTGGCTTTATTCCAAATAAGTTATGTACTTTTGTATTCCCACCCAATCCTGTTAACAAATCTTTATCTAAAATACCTGAGGATACTAACATTTGAACAAGACCAATCAAGATTTTTATATATTTTTCCTATATATATTCCTATGTAAAGCTTTGATCATCCATTGTGGCTGTACCTCCGGGGGTCATGATTTGAACAAACTTGAATCTACACTACCTGAGGATGCTTCCATATAAACATGACCAATCATGGCTTTGCTGTTATTAAGAAGAAGATTTTTCCTATATATTTCTATGTAAAACGTTGGTCGTCCATTTTGGCCCCACCCTGCCACCGGGGGTCATGACTTGAATAAACTTGAATGTACAATACCTGAGGATGCTTCTACATAAGTTTCATCTTTCCTGGCCTAAAGATTTTACATTAATACCAGCTATTTATATTGATATATGGTAGCAAGAAGTATAAAATTCAAGTCCATCCCCCTCCCTTCACCAAGTAAACTTTTGAGTGCTGAGCTGATTTGTTTTTATCTAGCCCATGTGCTCAGGTGAGCGATGTTGGAGGTTGCTCCCACTACTTTGATACGTGTTGCTATGGGCCTGTTCTCTGGGTAATAGCATTTGAAGCTCCAGAGCTACAGATTCCTTGTGAACTGAATAAGTGTCAGCTTCCCAACAACAAGTTAAAGATACAAGCTTATAAATATCTTATCTTTTGAAAAATGGAAATTATCTCAAATGAACACAATATATGCTAGATAAACAATACCCGAGTTAAGGGTTTTATTAGGTGTACATAATTTTGAGTGCTTGCTCATTTCATATTCATATTTTCTTTCATTGCATTTAATTTCCAGTATTTTGCATAGGATTTCCGACATGCTTAAAATTTCAATATCGAAAATTTTATTTCATTTCCGAAATGTTTTGTATTTCTTGGATATCTGCAGGATCCTTTTCTGACAATTTTTTTGCTTGCCAAACAGCTGGAAATAAAATTTTAAATAAATTTATTTCATGTTCAAAAATTTAAAACATATTTATCATTCAATACATACTTATACAAGTAGCAATAATACTTATATTAATATCTTTCCCTGTGCTACATGTACAGGCGTAATTGTGATGTCTTCGTATTAAAAACATTCTACTGTCTTTTAAGAATTCCTTCAACAATGATTGTTTTTTCCTATGGCCGTGTAAGAAGCGGGGGGGGGGGGCTATTTTTTGGTTTGTTTGCCAAGGAATTTTCAGTTGTTGATAGTGCACAAAACTGAAAATATATGGTTGTAACCCCCCCCCACCCCACCCCCATCCCCACCCCCGAAAGTGCTTACTAAGGGAGCTGTATTTACCAGAAGTGGTTTCTGTATGCCTTTTAATTTCCATCCTTGCATGTCTGAGTTTAAACTTAAAACTGCACTTTAGAAGGGAGATGTGCCTCTGAGAATTTCAGGTCACCTGAGTCTTTCAGGTGACCTATTGCTATCTCTGTTCGTTCCTCGTCGTACGTCATTTGGCGGTAGTAAACATTTGAAAATTTTAGCTTCTTCTCTGAAACCACTGAGCCAATTTCAACAAAATTTGAAATAACCCATCTATGGGTAAAAGAGGAACACAAAATTGTGAATTTCAGGGACCCTCGGGCCTATGGGATGCAGT